GTTTGAGAGTGGAGGAAAAGAAGCCATTTTTGTGAAGAAAAACCCTCCATCATTAAACAGAGGTGGAGGCCTTCGTGTCCAGTTGTCCTCCAAGTATGACTCAGCTCCCTGTGAGCAAAAGGGGAGAATCAGGGCCCCAACATACTCAGGTGATGGGTCACATGACCCTCTATGAACAATAGAGCTAATCAAGCCAAAAAGAGCTAATCAAGCCTATTGTTAGGCGAGAGTTAATCAAGTCTATTTTTAGACGATGGTCCTCTTTTACATGTAACTAACCTGTTAATCCACCATGTGGAGGCAGTGCTTATAAGACTGAGTTCACCTGAAACTCCTCAGACTGAAGAAGTGGAGGAGAGAGGAAATGTTTCACTGAAGAAGAACCCATCCAGAGGACCTTCTTATTGTTTTCATTTTGGTTTAAATTAAATTAGGTTAATTTATCAGTAGTTTTTCCCCCCCAAAAGGAGTACAAAAAGTTAACCAAGCGTAAGTGTTTACTTTTTAAGTTAAAGTACTATTTTATGTTACTTTCTAACAGGTTTATACAGTACTATTTAAAAATATTATCAGATGGTTCAGATTAGGAACAACTTTTAACATCTGCTGAGCCTAATGAAAGTTTGTTTTTGTAATTTACCTTAGTTTTCTTCTTTTAGATTCCTAATTTCCAACTATAGAATCAACGTTTTTTTTGTCTTTACACCTTATTCCTGAACTTGTTTACATTTGTATTTAGCAGGAGAGATGGCAGACCGAGCCTTATCTGCTGCCAAGGAGGTTGTCCTAATGCCCAGCTGTGACCTTCCTGAGGACCTGCCCAGAATCCGAGGCTACGACTTCAACCAGGGCGTCGATCTGAAGGCAGTGCTGAAGTCCTACCTCACCACGGGCTTTCAGGCCAGCAGTTTGGGTTTAGCCATCCAGGAGATCAATCACATGGTGAGCGGAACAAAATCATCTGCAGGTTCAATTAGCAACAGACCTAAAAAGTAGTTTAGGTTGTAACTTGTGTGTTACATCTTGTTCTACGTGAGTCCTTATAAAAATACCAGTCATATGACACAAACAAACCTCCAGCTTCCCTTCGCTCCACAAAACAGTATCCTCCATAGTGAAAAATGTTTCACTTAAAGGCAGGATTGTTTGTGTTTTAGACAAATGTTGAACTATTGGTCCTGGAATTATGTTTTATGTTACAGTTATTGATAAAAAAAATAGGCACATAAGTGTGTTGGCATCTAACAACCTTTATTAAATGGTTAAATGATACTCTTCTCTTTAAATAGRCAGTTGCCCATTGATTCGATTGTTTTCGGTACCAACAATCAAGTTAATAAGGGCAAATATTTCCCAGTCTTTTTTAAAAAATGTCGTGAAAATTGTCTGCTGTTAACCAGAAACTTGACATCCACAGATAGAGAAGCGCCTTGAGCCAGTGGAGGTTGATGAAGAAAACAAGTCTCTGGAGTCTGGTGAATCCTCCGGAAAATCAGGCTGCACCATCTTCCTGGGCTACACCTCCAACCTCATCAGCTCCGGAGTCAGAGAGAGCATCCGCTACCTGGCAGAGCACAAAATGGTATTCATCTGTTAAAGTGGTGCAGATCATTTATAATAATAATAATAATAACTAGACATGGGTTTTTACGATGTAAAAACAAGTGTGCATTGCCATGTAGCATGTCATTGCAGCATGGCTTTACCTGCAGCAGTGGACTTGCAGAATGAACTGTGACCAAGTTCAAATGTGTTTTCTATACCAGCTTGTGCTTGTCAAGTCGACAGGTGTTTGTAATGAGGATAATTGTGTGACAATATGATGTTTGTAGAGATTTTTTGTTAAAGTTGCTGTAGCTGGGTTTTGAACCCTGCTCTCCCACATGAAAATCCATAGAGTTAACCATTAGACCATTTGAGCTGTGGCAGAGGACATTGCCAGGGGTTGGTTTGTATGTGTGCAGAAAGAGGCCACATCGCCAATGCAATTGTTGACACTAAACAGCAATATATTACAGCAATAGAGCAATATTAGGACAACATTATAGTAAAACATCAAAATACGATCATATTAGTGTTGTAACCACTGAACTATTGAGATTAAATATTATTAAACTATCGTTCAGTACTGAGTAGATACAGTAGGGGACAGTATTGGAACAATACAAGGCTCCATTGACTCCCATTATAAATTATTAAACATTAATATTTCAAAAAACTACAAGTTATACAGGCACCAAAAGGCATAGTCATCATTTGGCACAGGAGCTTTACAGATATAAATTACAATGGCAGCTCTAGGACAAAGTATGCAGGAGGAGAGGCATGCCAAAGTTGAGATGACTTGGATGGGAAACGAATCACAATAGTGTRCGTTGCATTGGCAATGCTCACTGATAATAATAAAATTAAGCAGCCAAATTGACACAACTACAGTAGTTTATCTGAACCTGTTGCTGTAGGTGGATGTGATCGTGACCACGGCGGGAGGCATCGAGGAAGATCTGATCAAGTGTTTGTCTCACACCTACCTGGGAGACTTTAGTCTGCCGGGTAAGGAGCTCCGGCTGAAAGGCATCAACAGGTTGGTTACTGCTTTTACAAGTCAGCGACGCAGAACAATGACTCAGCTCTCTATCTGTAAATTAGTTTGAAAAGCAGCTCCATTAGCTTATTTGCTCAAAGAGAGAAGCAGGTATTAAATAAAGTTTCCATAGTCGTAGTTTGCGTGTTAAAATAAAAATAAAGTAATTCTCACTGTAGTCTTCATTGCTTTTACGTGCGTCCATTTCCTTGCACGAGTTGCAGAGGCTCTAAATGCTGTTGCTTGAGTTTTTGACCATGTTCAAAAAAAATTTGTGCACCAAATTTACCCTCAAAGCGTTTCTCTCACAGAGTCAGTAAAATAGAAATACGACCACCAAGGTTGGTTAATATTTTTRACAAGTTACTGTATTTATGAGCACCGTTTGTCCCTGTTGGTCTGTTTTACCTTCTTTTCTTTGGTTTCATCCTCTAGAATAGGGAATCTGCTGGTGCCCAATGACAACTACTGTAAGTTTGAAGACTGGCTGATGCCCATTCTGGACCAGATGTTGTTGGAGCAGAACACAGAGGTATCATATGTTGTTTAAAATGTTCTKCATTATAAATGCTTTGAACTTTGTCAT